ACAAGGATCCTGGGACGGCATCAACGGGAATGGGCGAGGCAACCATGGAAGAAAGGAGGAGCCTTCAAGGCGGCCTCCGAGTGCTTGAAAAGTATTAGCAATTTCTCAGTACATGGTTCTTACTATCTGCAAAGTTTCTTCGGAAAAAGTGGGAGGGCGGCTGTCCTGAGACCCGGAATGCCTTTTAAAGATTAACAGCGAAGTTAGTGAGTGCTGTGTAATGGAGTAGGACTGATACAGAAGAGTTTTAAACTCAAAACATCTGACTCTTTCGACATCCAAGCAAAGTAGTGATGGGTGAGAGCTGACTGCCACCGAAGGGACAAAGAGCAACATAAAAGGATTGGCCCCGCACGAACAGCTAAACCATTAGTATTCACTTAAGAGAGTTCAGGGGGGGAAAAAACAAGGAAAATATCGGAGGAATTCTCAGGGCGATGTCTTAACTCCAGCAGGCTCACTGAATCAAAGGGGCTTTGGTGAGTTAACCTACTCTAGTTGAGAATAACCACTAGACTTAGGTGCCAACTTACAGAAATTAAAATGGGGAATCCTCACGTTTCCTTGGCAATCAACAAGATATGAGCAAGGAGCAAACGCGTCCAAGTCTCTGCATTGCTTGACCTGTTCTGGCTCGTGCCTGGAGGGGGCTACACTTTCGACACACTGGGTGCAACTCGCACTCTGCACCGAGGAGTCACCACTGCCTTTTGCCAGCTTGCCATCTGCCTGGCCGCTGGCACCGTTCTCCCCTGCCAACTCCTGCCCTCACTGGGTGGAACTGGGGGTTCCTCTCTTCCGTCAGAACCCACAACAACCATCACAGAGTGACCCGCTCACTCCTGCCCTCAAAGCAAGAAGAGTTCCCATTTTATAACTGGAAGGAGACCTTTCCCATCCAACTTAACATCACAAGCTGTCCTACGGCACCCAGAGCAGGCGCTCAGCCGGAGGAGGGCGGGCGCTGCTTTTTGCTGCTTTCTCTGCCACAACAAACAACAAGAGGGCAAAGGGCCAAAGGAGCCTCCCCGGCTGAATGCACAAGAGCACATACCTTCAAGAAGCCTTCCTCATATCTGCTCTTTGGCTTTCTTTTCTTTTCTTTTTTAAGCTGGAACCCAAATGTATTTTATGCTGTTGAAATATTTGCACTTCTATTTCCATTCTCAGGTGGAAATGGCACGGGAGAACCTTATAAAACTGGGCGGCAAACAGCTTCAACAACTTGTAAAATGCGGCGGCTGAGACGTGGCTGCTCTCCCTCCATCAGCTGCCACCAGAGTGTTGCGCGGACACATTGGTGCTTCTCTTTATCAGATTCTTTCCAGTTAACTTCAAGCTCCTGTAGGCTGGGAAAACAAGGGGAGCAGCCCCCCCCCTCCGCAA